GAATGCAATCCTAGACGCACAGGGAGTGCTCCCAGAAGATGTGTTCTTATCTTAGCCCCTTGTTCTCAGTGCTGTTCTGTGCAGAGGGCTGCTAAGATCATGAAGGCTGCAGAAAAGGTTTCAGGATTATGCTAATGATGCCTAAGCATTTCTCCATCATTTTTCATTCAAAACTTCAGCATACAACACCTGAAAATGTATAAGAGAGGGTTGATGAGTGAATATTTTAGTCCTAAGACAGACACTTGCTGCTAGTCTGTGGTAGGAATGGAGATGACGGGCATGAGGGCAAACTGCAGTTCATGATAATCATTGAGAAGGTCACATGAGCTCTACAAGTAGGAATCCAGCGCTGTTTCAGATGTCCCAGCACATGAGTGTCATTCAGCTTGAGAGCCACCAAGGCTCTCCGAACGCCRAAGATATTTACAGTCCCCGACTCCTCCTGCACAGAAGTGCCTGCAAGTGAGCGTCTTCACATGGGGTTTTTCCATTCTCGACTTCCATTCTGGGTCATCAGTGCTGTTACATTAATATGGGCGTCCATACCCACTGCGAGTACATTAGAGCTTCTGGATGTGGGAATGTGGATGCAAGGCAGGGAAGAGAGGGTTGAATACCAGYGGGGAGAGACAACCAAGGTTCATAAGGGGTCAGGCGGGATAGCTTTAATAAGGGGCTTACACAACAAGCCACATGGGAGCCCTGGGAACTGCAATGAGAAGTTGCCAGTTGGAGGTTGCTGGAAGAGCAGATCAGATGYACAGGTTTATGTCCAGGCAGAACTAGATTCATGGTTCCTCCAGGGCCCTTAAATCTTCTAAAACTAGCTCCTCACCTCAGCTACTCTTGAGCAGATCTTGTCAAGGGAAAATGGGAAATGCCATGCCTGGTGCTGATGGGAATTTGGTCAATGTGTAGTGTCTCACACTGCACCTGCTCTCATGTGCTCTGTTGGTCAAGGACTCCTCGCCAGATCTTCCTCAGCTCTTCTCATCACATACAAGAATCTTCCCCATGATTTTCATGTCTTTTCTAGTCCTTAGAGAAGAGGCAGAGGGATGTCCTGTTGTGTAGCAAGGGGCTGGGTGGGAAGCAGCAGAAAGAGGGGGAATTATGAGACASAACACACAGAGGTCAAGGCAAGTGGTTTGCTCCCTAAGAACAGACAGGGCTGGCCTGGACCTAGGAAGCAAGGTGGTGGTGTGAGAGGAAGGAGGGAGGAAGGAGAGCAGAAGGGAGCCACCCAAAGCAGGACGCATGCTGACCTGTTTGTTCCAGCCCAACAAAAAGCCCTACACCTTCTTCTCCATGCAGAGCAGCAGCTAACTCTCCTTCCAGGCTCGTCTGTACAWGGAATCAGGCTCAATCGTGAGGATGTCAGTGATGACCTTTATGCCATCAGGTAGGGCCTCCCTGTGGACTCTTCTGGGGACTCTAAGGCCTTGCAGCACAAGGATCCACAGCTGCTGTCCCCAAGGTGCAAATCCACACTGTGCTTGGCATCCCAACCAGTGTTCCCTTCTGAAACATGGAATTCTGGAATCAGGGAACATGAAATTCCATGGAATTCTGGAACATCTCATTTTCCAGATGCATCATCACCTTTTTCCTCCCCATGGGGCAACATCTACCTTCTCCCAGGCATCAGAAAACTCCTCATCTGCCCTTCCAAAATAATTGAGACTAAG